CTTTATTGGCGCCAGTTCGTGATTGGGGCGTGCACTACAGGTACTGTCCCGCTCTCCGCGGATCGATCTCTCTCTCTCTCTCTCTCTCTCTCTCTCTCTCTCTCTCTCTCTGTCTCTCTTTCTCTCTCTGTCTCTTTCTCTCTTTCGTGGCAGAGGAAACGGTACAACGGGGATGACTATCGCGGCTTGGGAAAAGGACGGGGCGGGAGGGAGTGACGCGCTCTCGTCGTCTCGCAGGGTCGCCGATGACTTTTCGATGAATTCCCGTCGACGCCAAGGGAGGGCCACTCTCGGCGGAGGCGGAAAAGAGAAGCGCCCGATCGATCTTTATTTTTTTCGTTTCTCTGTTGCAGCGGCGGCATGGCCGGGCAGCACTACTGCCTGCGCTGGAACAACTACCAGTCGAATATGACGTCGGTGTTCCACCAGCTCCTGCAGACCGAGTCCTTCGTCGACGTCACCCTGGCGTGCAACGAGGCCTCGTTAAAGGCGCACAAGGTAGGCCGGTGTGCGCGCAAGACGGAGAGGCAGAGATCGATAGCGCAACCGCGATCGACGGAGCTCGCGGGATCGAACGTCAGACCTTGATCCAAGAACTGCGGGCAGACTAGTCTCGCGCGATAGAAACCGAACGTTCGGTTTAAACTTTAGGGAGAGAGAAATTATATAAATTCGGCGCTGGAGATGTCAACGTGTAGTCCGACCTACGTTGGTCTTGTACCCGCAGCTCCGTCTCGATTATTCAGAGTCATCGCGCAAAGCGGGACGCGTAGCGGATAATCGCGCACTTCGATCTGCGCTTACTCGCGATATCTTGACGCTACCGAAACTAAAGCCAACGGCACACGATACGATTTTTCCTACTGGATTGCTTGCGAGAACCAATAAGGACGCAGAGTTTTAGATCAGGTGACCAGAGGCTAAATTCTGATTGGCTCTCGTAAGCAATTCAGTAGAAAAAATAGTATCGTCTGCCGTTGGCTTTGGATCAGGTGACTTAAGGCTAAACCCTGATTGGCTCTCGTAATCAATTCAGTAGGAAAAGTAGTAACGTGTGCCGTTGGCTTAATTCGGCGCCTCCGAGGTAGACGGCGCTGAGCGACATTTGTTGCTAAACGAGATCTTTACGTCTTGCGAATAAAGAAAGGGGGAAAAAGACTTTCGGATGATCCCCCTAACAAAATTTCGACTTCGCAACCTGACGCAATTTACCTCCGAGGGGCGCCGCTGACACTCGTACAGGCGCGAAGCGATTCTTTGAGCAGTGAACGCTTTCTGATTCTTGATATCTCGATAGCTAATTGAAATGTCGATATTTAGCTTCGAACGCGGAGAAAACTCGGCGCGACGGGACGCGCTCGGTAGTTTAAGCACGTTTTCGCGAGGCGAAATGGAAACGCGCGAACGCTTCGTTTGCATTGGCCGGTAGGCTCGCGTGTCGAGATTTAATCGGACGCCGCGATTTAATCGGGAGCGTCGACGTGTCTACGTGTCTAGAACGTCTCCTTTCTTTTTTTTTTTCTTCCACGTGGTGCCCAGGTGGTGCTGTCGGCCTGCAGCTCCTACTTCCAGAACCTCCTGCTGTCGAACCCCTGCAAACACCCGACGATCATCATGCCGCAGGACGTCTGCTTCAGCGACCTCAAGTTCATCATAGAGTTCGTCTACCGCGGCGAGATCGACGTTTCGCAAGCGGAGCTTCAGGTGAGCGCGCGAAGAATAAGGTCGATCTTTCGCCGCGTTCGTCGACCGGCGGCGCGACGATTTCTCCCTCGACGTGGCCGGACTTGAATTTTCGCGTCGTAGAGGCCGGAACGTCGAAGGTGTCGCTCGAGGGGTGACCGATTACGCGAAGCTGCAAAATTACGAATGACTCCCCCGCTTCCGAGTTTCAGAAATGATTCGCAGCTGGTTCTTGCGATATTCGGAATATTGCTGCTTTATCGACCCGTTGATAAGCTCGACGATATTACATTCTCGTTGCTGCGAGACACTTCTTCGGAACATAAAATGTCCATTCGAGAGCATGTATAGTAAAGCATACAATATAGGAACATTTAGGGAAACGGCTTTAATGATGCCGTAAATTTCATTCGCATTATGTTTCTCGTGTAGACAATGTGAACAAATTAAAATTATTGTTAATTAAGTGATCAATAATGGAATTTTTAAACTGTGTTTTCACAAACAATTCCACCAAAACTTGTTTCAGACCAGATTACGGTCTCTATTTTAGTTGCGATTTATATGTTAACTGTACAATAATACGCTACAAAAGATACATATTGACGCTGATATGGAAGCGAGGGGGAAACCGCTGACCAAAATCTTGTACACCAATGCCCACTAATGCCCAGTCGGCATTACTTTATCTTATTATCTTATTTTATCTGTATAATGCAAGGCCTAATGCCCAGTAATGCCCAGTAATACCGCAAATATGTACACCACAATGCCCACAGCGGTTTACCCTCGTATAGAAGTATTGATGTTTACGCTAATCTGAGCTGTTAATTTTGCGTATGCTAAAATATGAATGCTCGATGGTCCATGCAGTACTCGTTGTTTAAGTGGCGCGTTGTACATAATTTGCATCGTGTATACACGTAGACGCAGATTATTATATGTCACGCGTAAACCGCCGATCCCGCTGATGGCGATCGACGGCCTCTGCGTCGCAATATCCGCGCTCGGATCGGGCATCGCGATGCCGGGCGGTCACGGCTCGTAATCATTCAAAAGTGGTACCGGCCGTGACTTTCTCGAAACGCCCCGGCGGTTCCCCGGGGCCTCCGGGTGCATCCCGAAACGCGTACGCGCGTCGCGCTATTAAGTAACGACGTGCGCGATCGCCTCGTTTTTATCTTATCGCGCTATTACGACGCACCGCGAGTCGTGCAGTTTTGCGTCTCACGCCGCGGGATCTTTCGCCAAATTGATAGCGGCCCGTACGCGGTCCTCCCGTCCGCTTCTCGCTGCACCCGACATAGATATTTTACAAATCGACCTCTTCGAATCGCGAACATCTTCGTTTTGAGGCTATATTCTCTTTTTTTTTGTCTTTCTTTCCCTCTGCGTGACTCCGCGTGTTCCTCCACGCGATATTCGCGGAGATGAAACTCGTCGCGTGCATCGGTGTGCTCGAAACGGCGAGAAAGTATACACCGGCTCTTTCTTCTTTTTCTCTCTCTCGAATGGCTTAAGTGCCTTCGATCCTAGTCCGGGTTTTTTCTTTTTAGCGCGTCTCTGGAATTCGTACAGCGGCGAGAGAAATGTCGAGGATACTTTCTCGCCGGAAACCGCCCGGCTACCCTTTGGCAATGTCTAACTTAGGCCTGTAAATATTATATTTTTCTGAAAGAATCCCTTGCGACTTGAACGCATATTCTTTAAGCGACTGAAACAGGACAAGTAATAGGAGTTTCTTGGTGCATTTACGATCTTTCGGGTTAAAGTGTGTATATATTATCGGCCGCGGGTGTTATCGACATTCGGTATCTTCACCGACCGGGTGAACGTACAAAGTTCTACGGTTAGTTACCGTCGTATCGTTACCGACTGGCGGTACATTTTGCTGTTCTCTCGAAGTTACCTCCGCTGTTCCCCCGCGTTCTTCTCGCGAGTCGAGAGCGACCGATGAAAACTCACCGACGGCGATCGTACGTTACTTTACCGGCCTCACGTCGTCACGGCATATTCGGCAGGGTTTGATGTTTGCACGTAAAATTTAATAATTTACAATCTACATGCACACGGTATATAAAATATGTTTAACGTGTCCCGTAAACAATGAGTAATCCATGGATTATCGAGTATTCGCATTCTTGAAATATTGGAAATTTTACGCGTTGTTTGCAATTTTATTTTCAATTATTATTATTTGGTTTGGATACAATTTTTACCTAACCTATAACTTATTCGAGTGAATAGATTTTTTGTTAGGCTTCTAAACTTAATTTCAATGTTACCACGCTGTTCTCTGATTTAGTCCGATTAGTGGAACACTGTCGGTTCGTACACAAAAGCCACATAATTTGTATATTACGCAAATGTTTTCACGAATTGACAGTTCTAGGAGCGAAAAGTGCAGAATCACTCCAGCATCCCCTCAAGCTACTTTAACTTGTAATTTAAACGTGTCCTAAATGTTACAATTCATATAGATGCAATCGTGAAATTGGCGCAATCCAGATAGTACAGAGAACCCAAAAGAATTCTTTTGGAATCCCCGAAACATGAAACACATTCTTCCACATCTCCGTTTTAAAAACATTCTCAAGAGTTCAGGGAACATTCGCTTTCGTGTCACCAATTCTGAGCGCTTTGTCGGATACAAAAGAAATTCTCCGTACTTTGATCAACGTCAATTTGCCTCCGCGTCAAAAGGTGCACTTCTAATGGAATCCTTTCTCAACTCCGGGAACGGAATTCTCTCGAGTTAATTTCGAGCCAATTACGCTAGGAGAAATTAGAAAAAATAACTCCCTCGAGTTCGCAACGATCAACCTTGTTTGGAGAACCCGCGCGACACCCGAGTCGGTAAGCGACCCTTATCCGGCGCTCCGGATTCCGCGCCGACTCGTTCGCGCGGCCGACGCAGCGGCGCGGCGCGGCGCGGCGCGGTGCGCGCGCGCGCGTCCCGTGCGCGTTCGAAATGCCCGCTCCGGCACGGCCGGCCGGCCGGCACGCGCGGCGGCTCGGCTTTTACGCGGAGTCTCGGCGATATCGCGCGCGCCGTCCGGCTTTATCGTCGCGACGTGCGGCGGCTGAAAAACTTTTCTCCCCCGTCATCGCGCACCGAGTTCGCGCGTGCACGTGCCTCTGTGTCTGTGGCCTGTGGCTGTGTGTACGTGAATGTACGTGCGCGCCTCTTGTTCCGCTGAGTGCTCCAGATTTTTCCGCGCCGCGGGAACCCAGGTATATCGCGAGCGGCGCGGATAAGATAAGAGGCGCGCGCGGGATCGGCGGCCGCCTACCCAAGGATGTCTCGCCAGCGATAAGAGGTACGGCGGCGCGCAGCTGCGCTACCCTTTCTTCGTTGGTTTTTTTTCCTTCTTTTTCTCTCTCTCTCTCTCTGTTTCGCTCCCTTTTTCGAGCCTCTCTTCCCCGAAGAGACGCGCCGTTTTTCGCGGCCGGCACAACGGATCGGCGATTCACCGCGGCGCGAATATAACGTGCCCTCGCACGGCAGCACTCGTGGTACGCGTTCCGGCGTGATTGTTGACCGTGCGGTCGTTTTGAGTAACGCGACACTCGAACCGCTCGCCAGTGCGGGCTTATCGCCGCGCAAGAAACGCGAGCCGTATATTCTTTTATCGTAGCAGGAAACGCAGATAGTGGGGACGGTGGCGACGATTTTATCAATAAAATTGCCGCGCAAATTGTCCGCGTTAAATTAAATAGCGAGCAATTATCGCGGGCTAATTGCGCCGGGAGTATTGTTATTGAAAATATCGACTGATTACATGGTTAAAAGCGCCGCTCCGGCCCCCGGACACTTTTGCGAGAATAATTGCGATAGCGCATCTGGGTCGCGTCCTCGCGCAGCCGTCTCGGTTTTCGCGAGATAATTTGTATTTCGGCTCAATTAAGAAATTAGATCCGTATCGTCCGACGTCCCTAAATCAACGTTGCAGTGCGCAATTTTATTACGTTACGCGGCTCCATTCAAGGCTGTCGCCGGCGTGGAATTTATTTCGCGAGTTTTCCGCGCTGTCGAAGCCGGTTTCTAACGCGATCAGCGGAATTAACATACGTCTGCGCGAAACGCAGGAATTTCCGCCGAACTTGCCGCGATTTATCGCTTTTCAGGACGGCGCGATAATTTATTCGCTAAACGAATTCCGCGCGCAATCAGCATTTTCGTTTTTAATTTCATTTCAAATCAGACGAAGGGAAGAAATAAACACACGCGGCGCGTCCAATCGCCCTGCGCCGCGCTTCTACAAATTATCGGAAGGCAATAAATGCATATTCCACGTGCGTAATTGGCCCGACCTAAAAAATTGGTATTCTCAGCCCGTGTCTTCGTCAACTCGCGCTGTTTTCTTTTCTCCGGCCGATCTTAATTACCATTAATCACGAATTAATTATGACTGTTGATTTCGATGAAGAGCTTTGTCCAGGGTTGGGCAGTGAATTTCGAGATTGCATATACATGAGTTGTTTGCGCGTTATTTACGGTATGGTTACCCGAGTCCTTTCCGCGAATAACCAATGTAAATTATTACAAATTGAATGATCGATTAACGGATCAATTTCCTTAAACTGCATCTTTGCAAATAGTCCTGCAACAATTAAAGGCAGAGACACAAAAGATACTGATATAGAAACGAAATAGTATTCTGGTTGACTCCTGTAAGGTGTTTTTAATGTTACTTAGTTAACGCAATATGCACACAGCATCCATGTAACATTTTTCTTCGCAGATATAGAGGAAAGTCTCCCTATTATGAGACAGGCTCCTAATACGAGATAGCGGAGTTTCTGCAAAATTAACAGGCGTTATCTGTTGGTTTCACCATGAATTGTTGCCCTTGGAGCGAAATTTTTAGTGAAAAATTGATCGTCAGCTCGTGTAATCGAAGCGAAAAAGGATTCGTGATTGAATTTGGACGTTGAAAACCTGCTGTCTCGTATTAAAAGTCTATCTCATAATAGAGACCTCTCCTCTATATCTTACGCGTAAACGGTCAACCCTGGTT